CGAACCACGCATATCCCTAGCCGCCCGATAGAACCGAGACAAACCAGCAGTGAACAGAACAGTGCAAAGTTGTTTCAATTTCCCTCTGTCATCTGTTACGATACCCTTGGAACGATAGTGGATATTCTTACACCGACACTACATGGTCACTTTAAAATTCCATTTATTTTAATAAAAGCCTAATCTCTTCAGATTGGGGGCTAAAGCAGTGGCGGCCTCACTGTAACCCACTCCGGACTAAGACAGTGGCATCCAGACAGACGAGCAGCCAGAGTTGCACACAACTTGCGCCGGACCTCAGGACCACAGCTCGTGTGTGTGCGTGACGCCTTGTCTGTCAACATGAACACTAACCGACCGTTATTTCTTTATATTTATGAATTCAGCACTTGGCCTTATTTTAGACCAAAATTAGAATTTTTGTCTGGCAATAAAATTACTTTCTTTAAATTTATAACAAATCTTGATTGAATATTAGTGATTTGGCCTTATGTCCATATTGTAGGAAAAATTTGAAATTTTTATGTCTGGCAATAAAATTCTTTTTTTTAAATTTATAACAAATCTTGATTGATTAGTTAGTAGTTTGTACAAATTTTAAGTTTTCCCCACATATCCAATTACTCGTACTTCTGTAATGAAATAATTTGTAAATTTTTTCGATGTTTTTTCTTGAGTGGTTTTAATGTTAATAGAATCATGTGGATGTTATTTCATTAAAGGACGAAATGCGATAATATTTTAATGTGGTGATAGGTGTAAAATAATCATAGATAAGTCTGTTTAGACGCTGTATACAAAATGGAAATGTTCACATAGACTGGGTACCGCTGTGACTTAGGCAGTGTTCTGTGTGCGTTTACGAATGGCAGCGACATGTAATATATATATTTAAAGCCCACATAATTAATGACCAAACACCACGTTACTCAGTTTTCACGGCTCAAGAACCGTGATAGCCCAGGGGCTAAGCGCTCGTTGGTAAAGTTTACAGTACGCGAGCAACCCGGGTTCGATCCCCGCAGCGCCAATGAAATTGTTAATTGCAATTTTAAGTGCCGAGCACGTGGTAAATCACCACGTGCTCGGCGGCGAAGGAAAACCTCGTCAGGAAACTTGCATGTCTGAGAAATAAAAAAAAATATCTTTCGAAGACATTTAAAGATAGCCACGCGCATTGGGGCAGCGCTGCATATATTTTCGTTGCTTTAAAACCTTCTTAGAAATGAGAGGGTATAGGTGATCTGTGCCCAGCAATGGGATGAATATAGGCTGTAACTTTACTTTTTTGCTCAATTTTAAAATGTCGTTAAGTGTCATGGTGGCACAGTCACTTTGACTTGGTGCTAGAGACAGCACAAGAACGGCATTCTAAAATTGAGTAACGTTTGAGTTCTTGGCCCGAACTGTAGTATTGTTTGGTATTTGAAAAGTCCATCATAAACGCATATAGAACATATAGATTAATGTAGTCACTTTAGCATTTGCAGTTGTCAACATTCAGGGCTGCCACGAGAAATATTTCTAATTATATCATACACATGCTAAATAACAGGTATTTTGTAAGTATTATTAGGAATATTTTACATGCGGCTACAATAAGTTACTAAATTGGCTGTAAAGGGTTTAAATAAGGTTTATATATAAAGGATTTCCACAGTATAGTAATTGATTTAGTGTCAAATGAATTTATTTTTACAGTTTCATTTAATACGCATATTTGAATAAAAATTGACTGCCGTAACCTAAAATAATAATAACAAATAATTGGAGAGAAATGGGTGACTCTGATATCATATTTGGTAAATAAGGGATTATTTTTCGAAAATTGAAGGGCGAATTGTATTATAGATTTCACTTTAGCTTCGATTCAATGCAATTTTGTAATAAAATATTAAGATTTTTAAACTGCGCTGCTCACATACTGTGGGGATCCACCACAACGTCCATAGATCGACGGCTGAGGGAGGTATAAGTTGTAAATCGTGCCTTAGATTACAGTTTTGTATGAAATATGACTTGTCTCCGCTCGCTTCACGCCCGCCCGTTGAACCCGTCACCGCTGTCACTGTGACAAGATACTGTCCATGTGACAGCTGTCAACAGATAACGACGAATTTACGTTTGGAAAATTCATTGCACAATAACTTTTTCGATGTTTTTCAGTAATTATTCCACACTTTCACACGAAGAGTTTCATCATTACTGTCGGGTCTCCAGGCGGCTATAGTTAAAGTTTCTTGTGTAAACTTAATCTAATTTAAAAAAAAAACCTTGATGCGAGCTTGTTTTTTGTCTAAACAAGCCGTGAATGAATATATTTTTATAGGGGAATGTTTATTCCATATCAGCAATATCTAATTTACTGTTAAATTCAGATCACTGTCAGTATTGTTACCTTTCCATCTCCGGTGATCCAGATGCTCTTTGATGTTTCAGTCGAACATTTGTTATGCCTTCGAGCGAGGGAATACGCTATTTGAGATACTTTAGTCTGTATCCTACTGTTTCATATATTTTGAATTAAAATTCAAACAATATTTTAATCTATACTTGCAGTATTTTCAAGAGAAAACAATTTTTCATATTTTCAGATTTATTGCGTTGTCAATATAAAATTCTCAATTATAATTATTACGAGCGCTGATGCTTTGAATTGTGCATTGTCTGTGTGTGTTAGTGTGTGTGTGTGTGCATACGAATTATTCCAATTTTAGATGGTGTAATAATCATCAGTTCTCGTGAACTTGAGATGTAACTTTCACTGACAATTTTGTACATTCGGAAAGGGAGATACGAACGGGTGTTAGTAATAATAAAATATTTTATTATATTGAGTTTCACAATTAGATGCGCCGTTGAAAAGATGACGTCTCAAGCTAACGGGAATTGATCTGCCCTCACTGTCAATATAGTATTCATTTAATTAAGATAAATTATGAGCGGGCAACACTCATCCGTTTGTCGATATTGCCTATCAGTTTTGAAATTTTTTTCGAAGTTGGTAAGTGGATGAGAGTTGTTAATTTACATAGAATTGTGTTGCCAGATTAGAAAAGTTAACAACAGTTCACCGATATCACTATTTACAGATCGCTATTATTTTTTATGGGTGAGTTACTGCTATATAGTTCTTTACATTTTCGTAAACTTTTTTATACTGGCAACACTTTCGACAGTTGTTTTTTTTGTCATCTCGCTTTATTTTAACTTGCAAATTGAAACGGTTATTAACTTTGTTTTATCAGTTATGTAGATAAATTATTTTTAATATATTAATTTTTGACCAATAAAATGCATCGATGCTGATCTAACGCGTCACTAGCTAGGGAAAACTGTAAAGATTAATGTAACTATTTAATTAAAATATATAAGTTTTTCAACAGATGTAGTTTTTCTTCTCTTCATTTGGGTGTATGTTAATTTCGAGAGTAAGCTGTATATCTGTGTACATTGACTTAAAATTATTAATGACAATGGAGATACAAGATTACTTCAATGGCGCTCTGGAACAATGTGGAGGTTCCCTTCATAGAACTCTCAGAATTAAGAGGCGTGTGCCTAACCATAATCTATCGTTACAGTTCATTAAAGTCCACTGCTTAACCGGTTCAGTGCAGATGACACGCCAGGAGTGCCATCGATTGTTTTTGTGTGTGACGATGACACGCGAGTCGAGTCTCTTTTTAAAAATCGTTATAACTCGCTCAAATTGCGTTTTTGGAAAATTTATCCAAAACAAAATATTCATTATTTTGCAAGCAGTTCATGCCTACAGCTTCGTTTCTGGATATTTTGAAATTTTGCAATTTTTAGGACTTGACAACCTTTTTTTAACTTGTACAATGGTACTTTTTTACTTCGTGGGTTTTAAATCATGTTGTGGAAAAATAGTCTAATAAGTAACAAATAATAGCACTCATTGCGATCGCTCACAAACTCAAGTTGTAAATAAATTTCTGGAAAACAAGTCTCCTGTTATAAAAAAAAACAATACGTTTGTCTGATTGTAAAATTTTGCTTAAAATGGTTGAACTGCAGTCTTATTACTATCCTTAGATTATCTATTATATGGCCGAATAGACCTACGAAGTACCATGTGCTCTTGTGATATGTATAAGGTTTATTTTTGCTTGAAACAGTTCATGCACTAGTTCGGAAAAAGTAAAGAAAAAGCTCGAGTATGTAATAGCCCACATCCCGAACGCTATACGTCCCTGCAATACGCCACTTTTTGACCAACGGTATTAAAAAAATATTTTTACATTTGGCTGATGGCAGAATAGGCGTGTCATCGACTTCTGATTGCGTCTGGCATGTCATGAAATATTTGTTCTCCGCCACAGCTAAAAGTTGTCGAAAATCGGTGCCGCAACGAATCGGTTAACATAGGCCTCCCCCATAGATTACCTCGTAGGGGATATTTGCCATGTTGCCACGCTCGGCAAGCGGGTTGGCAACCGCAGTTTTTTTTTGTTATTAGTAAGACGTTGCAGTCCATTTCCTGATTTGTAGTGGTATGGTAGTGGATATTTACACGGTCAATCCATCTCTTTGCTTCTAAACTTCTTTTAAAGTGCACTGTTTGTTTACAATATATTATATTGGGTTTATTGATTGCTGCTCTGATTATATCTCGGCCACCTGCCAAGCGGTGTGGTTACAGTAATGATGTCACACTAGGCTAGGTATTTTACGTGGAAAATCCATGCTGCGGCAGAAATGGGTTGACTCGAACGGGGAAGGTCCACGCCTACACAGAATACTAGCGTAAATATCAGTATAATGCTGGTAATGAGGCATTCCATATTTATTAGTCCTTATGGGTAACAATGCAATTTTAATCTCAATCTAGGATAGAATGTGTCTATTGGGCCACAGTATCCACTCAAATCAGGGTCAAAGTTACAAGACGTCTGGTATTGCGACATTTTTGAAGTCTGTAAAAAAGATTTAGCAGTATCGCAAGGAAGGTAAATAAATAAAAAAACAAGCCACTCATACAATATGATTATAATTTATTCATTAATAGTTTACAAAGACATTATCGTACAAACATTAAATTTTAGGATCAGCACATAATTCGCAGTACAAATACTTAATAAACGTTATTTGTTCATTATTGTAAAAAGACTTCTCCGAGGCCTAGACCTCGCCTTACACTTACTTAACTAGCTACGTTCAGTTCGAGCCAGACTCGTGCGTACAGCGAGTGTCGAGCGACAGTTCGCTCTCTGCTTGGAATTACTATTAAACGTAAGAGTTGTCGCTATGAAGTTACGATTTAAAAAATATGGACTTACATGCTTTATGCTGACACGGTTACTTGTTGAAATTTTGTAAATCTCAAATTTGATATGTTAAGCGACATAGCTAGAGGATCTTCGCTAACTGAATCATATATGAACATTTCGATTGTTTGACTATTGTGTCTGTTTCGGGGTAAAGATTAAAGTATCGCCTGATTGTATTATCCATTCATTAGTCCATATTTCTTAAATCAATTACCAATGAATATTTTTAGGATTTAACAATAAATCTGTTTTGTTTTATTTCCACTTATTCTAAGTACAAGGCCCAGTCTTTGTTTTTAAATAAATAAATAAGTCGCGGCAATTCCGAGTCAGAGCGCGATCTGAACTCTAACCAGCTTAAGTCGATGAATAATATAAAAATTTTCATTCGCTCTTTATTCAGACGTCGGTTGAGAGTTCTACACACGGCTGGTATTGCTATGACCCCATTTCACTTTGGATCGCAAACTTTACTTCAAAGGTTAAAAAAAATCCCAAAAAGTTAATTGTAAAATTTACATCAAATTTACAAAGGATATTATTCAAAATTCGATATATTTTTTGTTTTCTTAAGACGAAATAGTTGACGGAATAGTGTGTTGTTAGATTTGTTGGTATCAGTCTCACGGTGTTTTCACTAACCCACAATTATATCGACGTCGCTGCGTTCGAGTGTTTTTGTCAATTTTAACCAACGCATGCGTTGCACGTCGATATCGAATAAATAATACGAGCAATAGTTAGTCTCCTCGTTTATATAATATATATAAAAACAATCATAACAAGCATTCGTGTCGGCAGATCTACCAATATTAAAAAAAAATCTACGATTACTATAATAATTACGAGAAGCGATATTTTCATATGATCACATTCGCGCACGTGTCGCGATACACACCTTAACCGTACTAAATGCAAAATCGGACGTCGGCTTCCATTGACTCACAAAAACTATATTTTTTTTTTACATGAAATGTGTAATAAGTCAATGCTTTCATGCATTGACCGACATTCCGCTTTTGACATTTAAAAAAAACCATTTGCAGCGGATTCTTTGCAGAATCAGCCGTTTGGGTCGTTCGTTCCGCCATTTTGTCGACGCGACATGAAATGGCAGTTATGAATGGCGTCAATTGGAAGCACGCCCGTCCGTCCTAGTTCACATCATTCAATAGGAAATATGTTATAATTAAGTTCCACGCCCGATTTTTTTTAATAATTTATAGTTTAAGCAACAATTGCAATGGATGAGTATTGGGTAAGTTTGAAGTAAGTTGAGTTGTTTCGTGTCACTATTTAGACGTATTTCTCATGTAAATACATTAAAAATATTGAAAGTCATTTTTAAATTTGCTAAGGATACTTTAAAGGTTGAAATTGCTCGATGTAAAATTGGCGCGGAGGTAAGGTTTATGTTGCCTTTGGTGCGCTATCGTCAAACGATAAAGTACCCTATCGGAGAAATAATCTAAATATAAAGATACTGAAAATTAGTTATTTTGACAGTTGTTTCCACCAGTACCCATGGCTGCAATGAAATTATGTGAATTGGAAATTTCAAGTTGGACAAAATATTGGAATTTTGATTGTAATTTATTTAAACAATATATTCAGTGAGAAAGTGTGCCAGTTCACACGCGGTAGGCGTGTAACCTTCAGAAAATGAGACGAATGCAGAGTATCATATCATGAGTAGAATAATTGTTGGGTTTATGTAATTAAAATATAAATAAATTTATTATAAACACTGCATACTTGTTTTTTGTCTCATTTTCTCGCAGGCTTAATCCTATAGATTGTAAAGAAGTTTCATTTTACAAATTATAATTTAATTATTTTTATTCGATGATCACATAAGTATTTTCCGATAATATGAAAGTTATGTTATTGAATTGGCTTCACAACTAGTTACGAATGTTTATTTCCAGACGATAAACAAAAGCGTTTCAAGTAAAGTAACTAGCTATTGTTTATGGAGCGGGTGAGCGCTGCAGGTGTGGAGGGGAGGTACCGGTGTGTGTGTGTGTGTGCAGTTAGTACTCCCAGAGCGTGGCGGAGGCGAGGTCGGGCGCGGCGAGGCGGAAGGCGCCGTTCTTGTGCGCGGCGAGGTAGGCGCCGGTGGCGGCGGCGCGCACTGCCAGGCGCGTGGGCTCGCGCAGCTCGAGGTGGAAGCCCTGCGGCTGCTCGGCGTCGCACGACACGCCCTCGCCGTCCGCGTGCCAGTACAGCCCGTTCTGACCTGCGCACACCACCGCCCGTCCCCACCTCACCACACTGCCATATGTACACTGTGCCCGGCCTGCACCGCGACACCGCAGTCTGACAGACTCGAGTACATTGTCGTTATGTGTGCGTGTCGCGGCACAGCCCGTTCTAACCTACCCCGATGCACATTCCTTATAACAACACTATCATATCCTAATACGATGACCTTTAAAGGTGATGCATCATCAGATCAAAGCCAATAGCAGACATATTTGCAGCTCATTTTTCTTCAATATATGAAAGTGATAAAATAATTCACAAAAAAGTAATAGCAAATTACTTTGATGTTATCGGGGAAATTCAATTTAGACCAGAAGATGTTAAAAATAAACTGAAAAAGCTGGATAGCACAAAGAAATCCGGCCCAGGTAATATACATCCACTATTTTTATTAAACAGTGCAGATGCTTTGATTTCTCCATTAACTTTATTATACAATCGGTCTTCTGTAATGAATGAAAACTATCAAATATAGTCCCTATATCTAAGAATGGAGTAAAACTTAGTAATTAACTACCATCGAACATCTTGTCAGCAATATCAAAAGTATTTGAGTCATTAGTTTTCTCTGTAATTTATCGGCATACTCAAAAATACATAATCGAAAATCAGTATGATTTTATGTCAAGATACTCGACCAAATTGCGCCACAGTATACAGATTTTTCAAAGGCCTTTGACAAAGTGAACCACAACATCCTGATTCATAAATTATACTTATTTAGAATCACAGGTAACCTGCTGAACCTTACCTTTTAAATAGCTTTTCTAGGGTGATAATTGATGGCAAACAATTTAGACTGTTTGAAACATATTCAGGAGTACCCCAAGGTTCGATTTTAGGACCATTATTCTTTAACATCTTTGTCACTACCCCATATCGTCCTGTTAGTATTGTAAGAGGCGACAGCAGGAAATACACCAAGAAATAGGCAGCACGAACTATCTAATAACGTTGTTGTTGAATAAAAAAACTGCGGTTGCCGATCTACTATAACAAATATCTTCCCTATAAGGTAATCTATGGTGGAAGGGATATATTCAGCAGTGAACTATAGTTAGATAATAATAGTTAACGGTAATGGTTATAAAACTGACATGCCAAACGAACTTGTAAGTGGATACTGCAGCCTATGGGCACCTGCAGCCAACTTTAAATCCAAAAAACTACAGATGTATATCACTTTTGATCACAGGTATATAAGAAGAGTTATTATAATACATACACTCATAGACAAATTTAGAACAACGCAAAGAAAAAGGTTTAATTTCTCCTATAGTAATTATCGTGTGTACTGGCCTATGCTTTGTCTTTCCGTCCAGCAAAAGTAATTAGGCTTTCGTTACGCCAGGACAGTGCGATTTACCATCTAAGTAAATTAAATCTAAGTAGCTACCAGCAGGTGGGATCGTAGTCAAACTTATATTGGTAAAATAAATCCTATTGCCAACTTTTACGACACTTACAAAATGGTCTTCAAGCACTCAACTTCGTTTCAGCGGTGTTATTGACTAGTGATTATTATGTCAAGATTTCAGTTTATATATTATTATTTGCCCCCCCCCCCATCCCCCCACGGTATGCAAGTTCACTATGGCTGATTTTTAAGTAGAGTCGCCCGTATTGCTGTGTTATGTCTTTAATCTGTACATTTCATAATTCTATTAACAGTAGTACCAACTTACCCTTGAAGTAAACTTCGCCCTTGGGACCACGGATGACCTGGATGGTCTCATAGTTGGCCTTATTGCACTCGAGCTTCACGCCCTTTGAGCCGACGAAGCCCTGTTCACATTTCAATACTAGGATCGGCCTGAAATGTGAACACATCTGTTAAATCAGTTGCTATTTAATAATTATATTGTTGTCATGTCTCTATTTATTAATTCCCCTTTTTCTTTTGATCTAATCTTCCTTCTTTAATGTGTTTTATTTGCAGTGGAACGTGTAACTCTGGTGGGAATCGTGGTTGCCTTCGTTTGGACGTTTGTTTTCGTTATGAGTGTAGAGAACCGGAGACCCTTTTTACTGGATAGGAGGTATTCCATCTTCCTCTAAGGTGAAAGCGCATCGCCATTTTGATTCTTAATCGAAGACAACACTACTCTCAATTATCCAGCAAATTTTCTCACTTTTTGTGAAATACCAACATCAGCAGTTATATCCTATACCCGGTAGAGCCACGCTGCAGCAATTATAGTATTAGCACAGATGGGTCAGCTCCACTAGTGGTTCGCACAGAATAACAGTATAATAGCAGCTCAATGCTGCTATGCTCCGTATGGTGAGTGTAGAGAACCGGAGACCCATTTTACTGGAAAAGAGACATTCCATCTTAGTCCTCACGAGTGACTACGTATCTGCATTTTGACTCTTTATTGAGGATAAATGTAGATGTCTATGGGCCACAGCATCCACTTACCATCCGGTGGACTGCGTTGTCGTTGGTCACCAATATCTTTATATATCTTCTCCTCCTTTGAGTCACCTGGATGGTTCCTGTATAGCTATAGTTGGAGACGGTAGGTGGTGCTATTGTGGAGTTCCAGAAATCACCCGTGCAAAGCAGCGACGGATCGCTAGTTCTACATAAATAAAAAGTCGACTGCCTCGTTAGTCTAGAGGTCGTAAGTGCTGATTGTCAGGCCCTGGGTTTGAAACCCAGGTGGGGCCAAAATCTGTAATTGGATTTTTCTGTCATGAAAACCTCAGTAGCTGTCCGGGGTCAGGAATTTGGCGGTGTTTCACCCCCGTGCCCAGGAAAGGACGTAAAGCAGTTGGTCCTGCGCCTGATCTCTCGCCGGTCGTGTCAGATTACCGTCCCATCGGACTGTGAGAGTGAATGAATAGAGTGCACCTGTGCTTGCGCGTACCCTCGTGCACTATAATACTGCCCTACGCAGATAGCTAGTCTCCGTTGAGACTGGCTGCTGTGACCGAAATTCGGTCTGGAGGACATTATTATAACAGAAAGACTTGATAGGTTGTGATGGTGAAAAGTTGGTTTACCTGTTGATGAGATAGAAGTAGTATTTGCAGTTGTCGTCGACGGCGTCCGCGTTCGCGTACAAGTGTCCGGAGCGCTTGGTGGTGACGTACTTGCCGTTGTTGGCGCGGAAGGCTACCGCACCAGAGCCCTGCCACTCCAGCTCGAACAGAGCGTTGGAAGACCTGCACGCGAAAATATTAATTTTAAATACTATATTATAATACTAGTAACACGCTCTGGCGTTGTTTAAATTTATCAAATCAATTTTTAGATTCCTCATCATAAACTACGTGGTAGAGCCACGCTGCAGTTATATTATGGCTGAAGCACGAATGAAGTAACACCACACCCTCACAGAATACCAGCTGAAAATACAAGCTTAATGTTGCTTTTTTTATAGGATCGGGTGACAAACGAGCACAGTCCACCGGTCAGGTAAGTGGTTGCTGTGACCCATAGACATCTACATCTATCCTCGTTTGCGAATCAAAATGCAGATGCGTTGTCAGCCGTGAGGACTAAGATGGAATGCCTCTTTTCCAGTAAAAATGGTCTCCGGTTCTCTACACTCACCATACGAAACATAGCTATGTCAAGCTGCTATTTTACGCTGGTATTCTGTGAGAGCGTGGTCCTTCCCTGGTCGAGCCGACCCATTCGTGCACCTATACTACTTATATAGCTGCAGCATGGCTCTACCACGTTTGCTGTGTTTCTTATGGTGAGTGTAGAGAACCGAAGACCCTTTCTACTGAAAACAAGGCATTCCATCTCAGTCCTCAGGGGCGACAACGCATCTGCATTTTGATTTTAATCGAAGTATTTCTATGGACCACAGACTCCACTTACCATTAAGTGGACTGTCATTCTATAAAAAAGCGTGGTCATAACACGGTCGAGTCGACCTGTTCATGCTGCAGCTTGGCTATACCAAGTATAATTAATGTTATAACTTCATAAATTAGTGGAGTGTTGGTGTAGTGGACTCACTTGTTGTCCCCGCTGGCTTGGATTCCGCCGCCGACCTCGAGGGTCCAGTAGCGATCCTGCATTGTGCGGATGTACCAGCGCCGCGTGCCCCAATCGAACTCCAGCTGGAATGTCTCGTGGGACGAGATCTCGTCCTGGTTTGCCGTCACGTCCACACCTGGGAACGAAGCATATAGTACAGGTTAAATGTATTCTGATTTCCGGTTACATCACCACTTATCAATACTTAGGATAGTAGTCTCGCACTTATCTACTTATTAATATTTAAAAATAAACTTTTTATTTATTTATTTTAAATACTTAAAAGCAAAACCCTTCAATGAAATAAAAAGAAATGGAATAATTTCCACATAACAACTTCTTAATTCTAAGTCGGTACTATTCATACATAAGAGATAGTTTTTTATTATTTTTAAGATCCTTAAAATCAACTTTTACTTTTTTTTATAAAAGTAGTATTAAAAGTTTTGAACCTGTTGAGTGGACTCAGGAATAATCACAAGCTTAAAGTAACGGCTAGAATGCAGTCTAAATAGTTTCATTAAAAACTTCATCTCCTAGTTTCCTCTTTTGGGGGTGGAACTTATTCTCCAAATTTACACGGTAAAACTCCTGAATGCCTTTATATTAAGTCGCAATTATGAAAAAAATAATTGTGGCGCAACGACAGCGCCGCCACATCACATTCAGATGCTGCACGTCATCTAGCTGCACTAGGTTCATCGCAGCACTGGAATAATAATGCTTCCTGTTCCTTCAAGCTACTCTCTGCGCTACAGTGTTCGGCACGGCTCTGAGCCTTACTGCTTGTCTCTGCTTCACGGCACTTTTCTTCTTCTTGACATACCGCAGACTACAAGGCAATCCCCTGGTACTTGCACATTCGTCGACATCTATAGGTACTGCATTATCGACCTCCGGTCGATTCGAAAATTAATGGGTTTCGCTTGCTACTAAACGTAATGCTGGTATTTTTACCTTAGGATTTCAGCTCATGATATAGTCTTTTAAACCGAAGTAGAGTTTACTTTGTTTATAGTTTATTTTAATTTTGTTTTCTATTCTCAATCTTATTTCGGTATTTTTAGTGCATTACTTTAAAAAAAAAATTGCAGTCGGGTTTTATTAATTTATATTTTATTTTAGACTTTTTAGTGTCCCGACACTCTTATGAACTAAATTTCATATGATAGCACGAGTTCCGATACAAACATGGCTCATTTTTATATCAAAAACTATTGAAACCAATTTATTATTCCTAATTCAATTTAAACATATAACTTATACATATTTTTGTAATCCCCTTTTAATTTTCTTTATTTTTATACCCTACTCGATAAGTTTGGTTAATTTTTTTATTTTTTTTCAAATAGCTATCTAAGAAGTTTTGGGTTTTTAAGACGAATAAAACGATACCTTGATGTTGAAATTCATCCAACTTTTTGGAAGATACGAGGTAATAAATAAATTTACAAACATACATACAAGATACGCGCGAGAAACAAACCTTCCAAAGGCAGTCTGGTAAAAAGGAGGAAGAGTCCAAAGGAGTGGAGAGAGAACGATTGAGGATCGAGGGAACCAATTATGGGAAAGGGAAAGATACTGGAAACAGTCTTTTAAATAATGGGGATTGGAAGGATTAAACAGCACACCATACAATGTGCAGAGAATGTAAGTATTCCAGCGAAGGCGGATCGGGAGCCATTTGATCTGTTTGCGAAATTCAGTGATGTGATCATGTTTGCGAAGCCTAAATATGAATTTAATACATAAAATTTTGAATACGCTCAAGCTTATTAAGCTGCTCCTCGGTAATGTCAAGATAGCAAATATCAGCATAGTCTACAATAGGCAGAAGTAGAGACTGGGCGAGCGTAACTTTAGTTAGTGTGGGAAGAAAATTACGTAATCTACGTAAAGAGCTTAACGCAACAAACATTTTTCTGCTAGCCTCATTTACCTGTGAGGTCCAGGACATACAGACATACATTGAGATACAAACCCAGGTTGTTAACCTTAGTGCAGTCGAGTATAATAGGAGACAGGGAAGACCAGTCAATTTTTCCAACGAATCTAGAACTACCAATGACTTAGGATTAATCGTTAAACCATAGCATTTACTCCAGTTCGAAATACAAGTCAGATCAGCGTTAATAGTGTCAACTGCTTAACAAGACTAAGACAAATCTTCAAAAGAGAACTGACCTACCACTTGCATGCTGATCTCCAAATCTATACATTTGGAGATCAGCATGCAAGTGGTAGGAAGAGGACAAATTATGACTTATACAGTTAATGAAAATTGCAACCAGGAGAGTAAACAACACGCCATCTTGTTGTACCATTAAATACATTACTAAAATCTAGCAACGTAAGAATTGTAAGCTTTTGTTTCTCCATACCATACCGAATATCATCGGTGATTTGTAAAAGTGCAGTAGCCGTACTAGGACGGAAACCGGATTGCAAAGGATTTAAAAGATTATGTTTTAAAAGATAGGTGCTTAATTGATTGTGCACAAGGCGTTCTCAAACTTTGGAAAGGAAAGGCAAAATAGAAATAGGTCTATAATCAGATATACTAGAGGGATTCGACTTTTTCGGAAGAGGAACTACAAATGCATCTTTCCAAGTAGAAGGGGAAAAAGTAGAATTCAGTGAATTATTCAGGATGGATGTGATTACAGGTTAAAGGAGATCAATGAGAGGGATGACCATTTTCAGACTAATGCAGTCACTACTAATCGAATTCGAATGGATGGACATTATGGCTCTTTTAACATCGCAACTGTTGAATTGACTAAAACTAAAAGCAGTGGTGTCCAAAGCGGGAGCTTTTGATCCTTTTAGAGCTTTTGCATTGTTATTAAAACAAAACGAAATGCCGAGCAGATTTCGATTTTAATAAACCAAACCAATACCGTAAATATTGTTAAAATCTAATAAATAATTAATGGATGCCCGTGCAGTTTTACATTAGACGATGTCTATCTAACTCAAATTATATTAAAAAGTAAATTATATTTTTACGTTTAAAGGTTATTAACCTTAAAATATATAGAAGTTAGGTCTTTCAAAATGAAACTTATTACCATAATTTCCAAATGAAAAGTCAAAAACACTATAAATAGTATGTGCGGCCGACCATTTAGCAGTCTCGTAGCTCTGCTATATCGCGTAGAAACAAAGTTTCATAACAATAACTGTTGTTTGATTACAAAATTATACAATATAATGTAAGCTGTGCTAGAGGAATATATTAGGTAATTTATCAAGCACGACGACACGAGGCAGCCGTTCCGGAACAACTGCGCTCTTAAATGCTTTGGTTATTCCTCGAAACGTGGCTAAGTCCTTCACTAATTATTGACTCACGGTAAGTCTGTCTATATAAATAAAAATCAATTGCCGCATATATGAAAGATCATCACTTGAGAACGACTCGATCGATTTTGATAAAAAAAATTGTGTGTTGAGTGGCATAGGTTTATATTCACCATTGGACGCGGTAGGTGGCGCTGTTGTCGAGAATCACCCGGGCGAATCCGGGGCAGATTGTTAGTTAAGTAATAAATTAAATTAATTTGTTATTTATTATATAAATATATTAAATTAAAATTTTTTATTACTTTGAAAAATAAGTCAATTTCAAATTTATTTTTATTTGTGAATACAGGTAATAGGTGCAGACAGAATAGATCTATGAAAACAAGTGGTAAAATGAAAAATTGTGTACAACCGACTTCAATATGAGACCACATAAGAAGCATCAGCTTTAAAATAAAAAAAGAATCATCAATATCGGTTCACCTAGAAAAAAGTTATGAGGTAACACACATAAAAAATACAGTCGAATTGAGTACCTCCTCCTTTTTTTAAATTCTGTTAAAAACGATTAAAAACTAGGTGGCGAAAGAATGAGTTCTTTCACCAACAAGTACCGAACCTCGTTGGAGTTTTTTTGACACACAATGTTCACAACAAAAGCTTCAGTGCTCAAATGGCAAGATGTTTTGTTTTATAGAATAAGGGTGACAAACAAAGCACACAGTCCACCTGATGATAAGTGGATGCTGTGACCCACAAACATCTACATCTATCCTCGATTATGAACCAAAATGCAGATTTATTGTCACCCCTGGCGACTAAGACTGAATGCCTCATTTTCTAGTAAAAATGGTCTCCAGTTATCTGACCCTATGAAACACAGTAGCACTGAGCTGAGCTCTGCTATTTTACTGCTCTATCACGCAAAAAGATACTGAGAATTAAAAAAAATTGTGAATATAATAATAATATATCAATGCTGAGTGTCAGTCATCCATCGGCAGATCAATCGAATCACCATTATTTTCTCGAGACGCGGACGCGATGTATCGCGATCCGGGGCGCAGGCATCCGTGATAGAAACGCGGGAAAGCACGCCGCGCCAACAATGGCGGTGTTTTTTTTTATAGCTAATATCTTAGAAGCGAATGTGCACATACCATCAGAAATGTACATTCAGGGTTTTATGAGAACGACACTGCTGTTACAATCACTTTCCTATTCGCGTTTGTTTTATCATCAGTCTTTCCTAAATAGTGTTGTTGATCTACATTTACTAGTACCTATATAAGCGAAATACCACTGACCCACTCATCATGAGATCTCCAAAACTATACGCCCAATAGACTTGAAATTTGTGATATTACTGTGATTCTTTTCTCGACGTAGACTAAGAAAATTTTGGAAAATTGAATGTTTGAGTGCGTGAAATAGTGCACAGCTTGTTTTTGATATAATTAATAATGTATTGTAATTTATGTATATATTAATAAATGTTGCCACAGATACTATAAAAGCATTATACTGAAAACAATGTATATCACATTTGTTTTCATCCTATTTTTTATTTTTATTTATTTATTTATCCTTTATTGCAACACACCAACTAGGGGTTACAAAGGGCGGACTTAATGCCCTATGGCATTCTCTACCAGTCAACCCGACGAAAAATGGAATAAATAAAGATGTTGGCAGGTGCAAGGACAGTAATAAAACATAAGTTATAAATAAAAACAGTTCAGCTATAATAAATAGATTACACAATATAAAACTACCTAATCGCATTATATAAATACAGTATACATAAACAACACACATATGTAAATA